AATGAAGAAGCAGAATGCTGGCAAGGCCGAGTGACAAAATTGAACTGCTGGGCTTCTAGATCCTAGATTCTCCCGAGTCAAATGTCCAACGGTAATTACGCAACCAGACTTTCGTCTAACGCAACCAACTCTTATCGCTATCTACTCGTATGTATTTATTTATTTATTTTTTTCAGGGAGCGAAGGGGGGTTCTGTCCTTACCATTCCATGTAATAATTCTATAGGTCTGGCGCCCCTAGCGACTACGTCTGAGGATGCAGTCTATGAAAGCAAACAACGAAGAAGCCTACCAGCAGGTACGGAAACAGTCCCTCACGCAACACAGGCCCCATAATATAGGAAGAACCCCACAGCATGCAACACGTGGATGATCTCCAGGTTGTTGTTGTCGTCGCACTAAACGTAGGAAAGGCACACAATTCTCCATTAATGTTCCATGCCCCAGGCTTTGGGTGCCGATTATTTTCTATATTCGCAGAAAACCCTGGAAGAGAACATATTCCGCGGCAAGCGCTAGCACACCGGTATTTCTTCGTTGTATTAATTTATTGTCCACAAACTAAAGGGTCTCGATGCGTTATACCTTCAAGTTGGGACGAAGCCTACTCCACTTTGTCCACGGCATATTGTCCTTGTACTGCATCGACGTGGAGTATTGTTCCTAACCCGGAGGAAGAAGTCATTGGAAGGTGCCATGGTCCGGTAAATTAAGGGCCTGAACATCAGATTTCGCAAAAATTGTTCTTATTCAAGAAATCCATCGGCAAGTTGTTGTTTTAAGCTCGCCTATCTCGCTCTCTTTTTTCCCGTTATTCACCACCCATCCCAATGCTTTCGTCCTGCTCACCCAGGAAACTAGAACATGTTCTTGGCATCCTCGAATAATTTCGGACCTCTTAGAACCATGACAGTTCAATCGAATAATGTCAACAAAAGTGGCGCCAGTCATGGGCCCCTGACTCGGTGTCACCTCAGTACAGCCAGGTCGGGAGAGCACACTTAATGCTTACCGCCAATTACGTGTACACGGAGATTATCATCAGAAAAAGGCTCTACCAAACGGCGAAAGGATCATGAATCTGATGGGAACAGCGATATAGCTAAGCTGCTGCTGGTCACTATCAACTTCCTAAATGCTACTGCCGTGTTTCGAGGAAAGGAGAGAAGCCTCGCTAGGGACATCAAGTGAAGCTAGACAGTGGACGACTCTGGTTCTGGACCGTTGAATAATCATTGTCTTACAAATGGATAAACTCCATCAGAAGGTAGCCAACAAGCCAAATTCACTCTTCGAGCATTTTGTGAAACCCGTCAGTAGCGGCCCATGCGGCTTGAGTGAAGCCACCAGATATGTCTGGGTGGAAGGGTAGACACATCAGTATCGAGTTTGTGTAAGCCGAAACTAACTTGTTTTACAAGATTAAACAAAGGTAGCCTGCTGGACCTCTCTTTAGACTCCACGTAAGTTGCTAGATTTCACAGTTTAAAATGTCGTTTGGGCAAGGAATTCCTTATTTGGTAGTAGGTATCTGATAGGCTTACAGCAACATTCCTCAGATCATCCCTTATACTCCGCCTTGATATATAAATCATATACTTTTTGCTATTGTAGAACTGTACACAGGGCCAAAATGGTTCGTGTCGCCTCTCAACGGCCTACGATCAGATTGCTTACTGGTTTCCAATCGCCGATGTGATCTCCATGATTGATATGAGGGGATTCTTCTGGTACTAGATCAGCAATTGTGGCTCAGTCCGACAACTGAAGGGGAAGCCCAGACCCTATCGTGATACAAAACTAGTAAGGCGTTCTGGCAAGGAACTAATAAGATTTACTGTTCTTACTTCTATTGTTTATACTGTGTAGACGGAATACTTCGGCCGGGTTGCGCTATCCAAAAATGGACTAGCGCCGCATCTCCGAAATCTTTCCAACCCATCATTCGAATTCCATCGCGGCTGCTGTGAAAAGCCCGGACAGGTGAATTGCCTCCGTTTCTCCCACACTTGCGGATTTCAGCTCTTCGACTCACAAAATGGCTTCAATGCTACCAACTCGAGCGGCCAGGACCATCGCCTGTTCCGCATGCCGCACTATCGTTTGTCCTAGCACGATTGGATCCGCCTCCCTCCTCCGGCGTAGTCTGTCGACATCTACCGAGGAGACACCAGTCGATTATACAGACAAGCCTCGATGGTCCTATACCCCGCCTCTTGCAAAAGCTCCCTTCAGCTTGCGATTGAATACCAAGCGGCGTGAATACCCCGTCAACGCCGATCCGAATGTCCTTGACGAATTCTACATCCGCATGCTGGGCAATGATGGCGACAAGCTCCTTTCGGACGAAATCAAGTGGCTTGCTGTGACACACAAGAGTTTCGATCAGGGTCGGAGAGGATTTAACGACCGTCTGGCTTTCTTAGGTGTGTAGGAATCTGAGGATGCGATGCTGCGATTCTCGAGATGCACAGGCTAACAAGCAATTGCACTCTAGGACGACGGATCGTTGAGCTACAGGCTTCTTTGGCCATGGTGCAAAGCCCCGGAAGTGCGGCATCCACCGCTGCCCTGATGCGTTTGACCGTGCGCCCTTTACGCACCCGGCGTTGGAGGGCCTGGAGAACCTCACCAGCCGCAAGAATTTCTTGATAGGCAAAACACAGCTTGCGGAGCTTGCGCAGAAGTATGAGCTGCAGAAGGTCCTGAGATGGAATCCTCGGAAGGTAAGATAATGGAACATCATTCTCTTCTATTGTTTTGCAACATACTGCTTTCGCTACAAATGCCTCCGCTGTACCTTGCTAACACCAATGCCCAGCCCAACAATCTTGCCAGCTCCGGAATCGAACTTGTTCTTGCCCATACAATGTATGCGATCGTCGGTGCCATTTCCCTGGAGAAGGGCGGTCTCGTTGCCAACAAGGTAACACGCGAGCGGATATTAGAACCTTTGGGATTCTAGGCTTAAGTCGGGATATCATTGTTGGGAAATGGCCGCAGGAGCATTTCGAGGCGTTATCTCCTTTTCGCTTTCTTGTCTTTTTTATATCTTGGATGTTCTCTGTATGTGTTGGGGGTTTTGGTCATCCACCATATATGTACTTTTACTACGACCATGTCTTATATTGATTTTCGAATACCACCCGCAAGGATCCTCTCCCCCGACGGCGCCCTCCTGCGGAACGTGTTGGATAACACGCAAGCCATTATGAGAATAGAATTGTTTATTAATGATAGATATGTCCGGTTCCTCTGACACCGCCCGAGTAACAGAGTAAAATACGCGGCCAGCTCTTATGGAACCCTCTTTACGATGCATAGTCTTCGCGCCACTGTATCGCAAGTCAGCAATGAAAGACTGGGACCATCGTACAGAATGTACGACGACCCCAGAAATCACAGAACGTAATTTGTGCTGCCTTGCACTGTCTATTGGGAGCGTTGGGATAAAAGAAGAAAAAAAAGTGAGAAGAGGGAAAGAAATTGCGGAAGAAATACTCTCGTGCGGAAATGGCCCTAGCCTGATCAGGTATGGTGCCGACCCTGGAGCCCGCTAGAGCTATATAGGCTTGGCTTTCTTTCCTGAATGCTCTTAATACTCTCAGCATCCAAGCGAGGTGCCTCAATTGACACAGCTATATTACCCAGATACGAAATTCTTGAGTGACTATTCTCCAACTCGGCAAAACTAGCCCAATCAATAAACTATCATGTAGTACACTGTTATACGGTAATAGCGACTAGTCGACGGCAACAGAATCATACATTGTGATATATATTCTCCTTCACCTCCAAACAATATCGACTATCTAATGATCATGTGTATTCTCTTTATGTGATATGGTGGTTGCAATACCATGCACAGCTAACAGAGCCAACAGTGGAGGCAATGATAGAAGGCTTCGCGAAGTGGTTTAAGCCTTCTAACGACTTTCCACAGACAGGGACTTTACATGTGGCTTCAACCAGCAAGCCTGAAGAGTATACTTGACAGGATGATGCGTTAAGCCTCAACTCTGCGACTCTTCCACCGAGAAGGCTTACAGATTCGGTCTAGGGGTATATACGTACTGACGCAAGGTAGATACAAACCAGACAGACCTCCACTACCTTGGGGACAGGTTCCCCAATGTGAATAGTCTATGTACATACTTAATAGAGCTCAAAGACCTGAATGAAGATTGTCGATGTTTGTGAGCCTTCAGCCGAATGGCCCAGCACAGCATGAGGCAGCAATTGGATTTGACAAACCTACCACGCGCTGCAGAAAGAGCCGGACAGGCGCCAGCTAGACGCAGACAGAAGATCATAGGAAAATCCGTATTCGATTCGAGACTTTCCCTGTAGACTATGGGGTTCAAAAAGCCCTTTACAGGCTACATCCCGCGATTGTAAAAGCAACTATTTCACGCAATGGTGGCCTGGTTTCGACTAATGGAACAAACGAGAAGGATGTGCATAGATATACATAGGATAGCTCAAGATGATGTTTGATAGAACTCTCGATGTCATAACTTCTCAAACTATTCGTAGTAAATGGAATGACAATCAATGTTCCAGTCCGGCCAATATTACTACAGAGTATATTATACAGATTATATGACGAGCATTCATCTCTTGGGGATTATATCAGTTGTAGGAGGATGGAACCGGGCGGTCAGGGGAGCGGGCGATGTATTGCGTGGCAGTACTCAATATAGTGTGAACGTGTACAGGAGATTAGAGACTCCATCGTCTCATACACTGACGCTCTCCGGCCAGTCTTCTATTCTATATTTCTTTATTGTGAGTTTCTCCGCTAATACTCCATGATCTGAACTTATACTGTGATCCATTGTTGGATTAATACTGATTGTAAGGTTTTATCGCAGAATGTCCGGCTAGTGTTTCGTTGGCCTCTTACCGTTGAACTAAGTCAGGAGCCTCCCGCTGACCTTGCTGCCCTATTAACATCCACCCTTACTTTCACGACTCCCACACGATCTCCAAACCTCCGCGATGGCGTCGGCTATCTTCTTTTTAGATTTGAAGGGCAAGGTAGGTAGATACTTGGCGATATCTCTTTTCAATGACCGCTATATCCACCATGCATTCTTGCGCTCACCGTCAAAATAGACCCTTCTAGCCCGAAACTACCGCGGAGACATTCCCATGTCCGCGGTCGAGAAATTTCCTATCCTCCTCAGTGACGCAGAAGAAGAAAGCTCCGCCGTACCGCCATGCTTCTCTCATGAAGGAATCAATGTATGTTATGTCCGCAATCGCATCGGTTTTCGCACCTGCTCCCCGCTCGTCCCCGCAGCCCGCTCTGCTTCCCTTCATCCCCTATAACTACCCGCCTCTACTGCGACACCTCATTTGGGAACCAGGTAGCCATTAGCCTTTTCTCCCCATCTTACTGATTAACCATGGTGTATCTAGTATCTTTACATCCGTCACAGCAACCTTTATATCCTCGCGTTGACAAAGAAGAACACCAATGCGACCGAAATCCTCCTCTTCCTCCACAAAGTCGTGGAGGTCTTCACGGAATACTTCAAAGTCTTGGAGGAAGAGAGTATTCGCGACAACTTTGTCATCATCTACGAATTGCTTGATGAGATGATGGACTTCGGATACCCACAAACTACGGAGAGCAAGATATTGCAAGAGTAAGACGACAACTGTGACCGAACATGACTGAAGGTAACGTTGCTCATATGGTATCAGGTACATCACACAAGAGTCGCATAAGCTCGAAGTCCAAGCGCGTCCCCCTATTGCCGTTACAAATGCGGTCTCCTGGCGAAGTGAAGGAATTCGCTATCGGAAGAACGAAGTCTTCCTTGATGTTGTCGAGTCTCTGAATCTCCTCGTATCTGCGTCTGGGAATGTCCTGCGATCTGAGATTCTTGGTGCTATTAAGATGAAGTGCTACCTGAGCGGTATGCCGGAACTTCGTTTGGGTTTGAATGACAAGGTCATGTTTGAGACGACGGGTCGTGCTACAAGAGGCAAGGCTGTCGAGATGGAGGACGTTAAATTCCACCAGTGTGTTCGACTCTCGAGATTCGAGAACGATCGAACGATCAGTTTTATACCCCCGGATGGAGAATTTGAGCTCATGAGCTATCGCCTAAACACACAAGTGAAACCCCTTATCTGGGTCGAATGTCTGGTGGAGTCGCACTCAGGCTCTCGAATGGAGTATATGTTGAAGGTGGGCGACCTGGCAGCCCCGAAAACTTGTGTCGCATCTAAACTAATCCTCCTATTCTGTAGGCCAAAGCACAGTTCAAGCGCCGCAGCACGGCCAATAATGTGGAGATCCTTGTGCCCGTACCGGAAGATGCAGACTCGCCGCGCTTCCGCACGAACATTGGAACGGTTCACTATGCGCCAGAGAAATCCGCTATTATCTGGAAAATTAAGCAGTTCGGTGGTGGAAAGGAGTTCCTGATGCGTGCCGAGCTTGGTCTCCCATCTGTCAAGGGAGATGACGAGCACGGAGGTGGTATGACTGGAGGTTTCGGAGGCAGCATGGGCGGCACTGGAGGCGGCAAAGCCAAACGGCCCATCAACGTCAAATTCGAAATTCCTTACTTCACTACAAGTGGTATTCAAGTACGGTACTTGAAGATTACTGAACCCAAGGTAGGTTTTTTCCCCCCTAATTCTTGCGTGCTACCATTCACCTTTTATAACTATGATGAGTCCACAACTAATAGTCATGTCACAGCTCCAATACCCCTCCCTACCCTGGGTCCGTTATATCACGCAGTCAGGCGACATTGCGGTCCGTATGCCAGATGTACAATGATTTAAAGCGTTTAATAGTGTCAATAGATATTCTTTCTTCACTTTTCAGTTTCTAACATTACATAACGTCTGTCCCTTGACCTGCAGATCAGGCTAAGGTGGTCATTTAATCAGTAGTTGTATAGAATCATGCAAGTGCACTAATTGGGCTTGCCCAGAGACAGCTAGAGTCCCCATATTGACCGTGGTCGAAGTTGAGTATGCTGCATATATGTTGCTCGCTTCGACACACAAAACACCAAAATCTCATTAGCTCGACTGCAATAATATGAAATCACAAGTTCCACTCCATCACATTCACCTAAAGTATTTCCACCTGCGCTACTTCTACAAGTACACAACCGTACTCTGTAGGAGTACACCTATCACGATTCATAACAACCGAATAGAGTTTTAACCATTGCTCAAATTTAGCCCTGGCTTATGTACCATATATGGCTGTGCTAAATATAGAACAAAGGTGCTTTGGTCTAGTGGTAGGACGTTACGTTGTGGCCGTGCCAGCCCCGGTTCGATTCCGGGAAGCACCACTTAACTTTTTTTTCCTTTTTGAGCTAACTTACTGCTCAGCCCTTTTCTTTTTACGGAGTAATTGCCGCCCTGTTGAACCAGGATCGCCCTGTACCCGATACTAGGGTTCCAATCTTCTCAGAATTTTAACGTTTCGATGAGTAAGCGGACCTCAAGAATTCCTTTCTTCACCCCCAGTGATCGACATGATCTTGTATGCGTGCGCTATGTCATGATGAAAGGCCAAGAAATCTCAATTTTGAAACGTCGGTAGCTTGGTAGGTGCGGTAGTTGCGTTGCTATATATCTTGGCGGATGGAGCTGTCTACGTAATGCAATCTGTGGCAGTTGGGTATTGTAGAAGCTAAGATTTGCTTGGGTTTGTGTGTTGGGATTTAGGTTGTTTCTTATTTGGCGCATTCTTGACAAGAGCATTGGCAGGAGAGAACAATTAGAGTACGGATTTACGGCCGAAACAGTTCCTATAGATTGATAAGATCGATCACGAGAACGGAAAGAAATCCGCCTATTATTTGTAAGACTGAGGTTGGAGTCTGGACCACTAGGAGAGAAGATGATTTTTTAATTTGAGTACCTAAGTAGACCCTGAAATTAGAAGATGGCAATCAGAGAGGATCTATTGGCTTTTCTATCGTGTTGTTTATGACAAGAGTCAGCGTTCTAAGGCGTAAGGAATAGTAATGGAGGCCCCATCATAGGGCGGTGCAGTCGAGAACGCCGCTGTTCGGAGGCGGAGAGTCGTCAGCACATATCGGGACTGTATCTGCCGGACCGGATTACAATGGTAGTTGAAGCACACGACAGGATGCGAGGAACGTCATTACAGTTAGAAAGTGATCGATTTCCTCATTTCCTTCTCCTCGGGCCAAATTATGGGCACGCCACACCACGGTCACAAAGAACACAGTGTCCTGACTTTGGCGGTCTTTGTTGACCTACACTATTGAACTGCCACTATTAACAATTAGTACTGAATTGGACTTACGTACCCGGCCTGATGCCGCTGACGCACCCCCTGCGGTGGAGGGCCCATCCATCACCAACGCCCGGATCCCCATCCAACCTCCGTTGTTCCTTAGGTAGGTTTCGAGTAGGGCGTTCCGGCTTTGTGCTATCTGTTCGACCTCAGCTGCGCGTTCTGCGCACGTCGGCCACGTTTTCCTCGCGCCATAAGAACTCCGCCAGACCCCCCATCCCTTTCAACTCCGCCAATGCTTCTCGCGTCCCACTCCCTTCCTTAACCACCACGTCTACAATTAACACACCCCTGCATCTGATGGCGACGCAAACCAGAAGCCATGGTGGCCACGGCGGCCATCATCACCATCATCACCACCACGGCGGCAATGTGTACCTGACTTCCACAAACAAGAACGACGCCGGTGTTCGTATTACGCGGATCGGCCTGGTTGCCAATCTTGCGATGGCAATTGGCAAATTCATCGGGGGCTACGTCTTCCACTCGCAAGCTTTAATCGCCGACGCCTACCATGCCCTTACAGATCTCGTCTCGGACATCCTCACGCTGGGGACAGTCGCTTGGTCGCTCAAGCCCCCGTCTGAAAGGTTCCCAAACGGCTACGGAAAGATCGAGAGTATTGGCGCCTTGGGTGTGAGTGGGCTATTGCTTTGCGGAGGCGTATTTATGGGCCTAAACTCCGGTCAAGTTCTGTTGGACCAGTTCTACCCCCAGGCGGCGGAGGCGATCTCTCACCTGGGACACGGCCATTCACATAGTCACGGAATCGATATTCTTGGCCCCAGCATTCATGCCGCGTGGTTGGCTGCTGGGTCCATTGTGGTAAAGGAATGGCTGTACCACGCAAGTGAGTACCTTGGGGTTGCCCTATGATCTTATCCGAGAGCTAACGGTTATTGTGTAATGTAACAGCCATGAAAGTCGCCAATGAGCGCAAGTCGTCTGTTCTAGCCTCGAACGCTATCCACCACCGTATTGATTCTCTGACCAGCATTGTCGCTCTGTTCACCATTGGCGGCACGTACTTGTTTAAAGACGCCTCCTGGCTGGATCCTGTGGGTGGACTTCTTATCTCGTTGATGGTCATCAAAGCCGGATGGGGAAATACATGCTCGTCACTTCTGGAGCTGGCCGATACTGCCGTGGACGACGAGATCAAGGAATCGGTGCAGAAGGCTGCTTCCAAGGCGCTCGCGAAACTGCAGGATAACAATGCGATTAAGATCCGCGATGTCCAGGGCATGAAGTCCGGTCAGAACTATCTCATGGACATTGAATTGGCAGTGCCGGGAGCATGGCCCATCAATCGATCTCGGGAGATCGAGGAAGTTGTCAGAACAGCCATCGGAACGGGCGTCCGTGGCGTTAAGCGAGTCAAAGTGCGATTTATCCCCCTTGAGCATGAAGAATTGAATTTCTCCGAAGAGTTCATCCCTGCCGAAGTTGCATCCCAAGCCAAACCGGAGCCGGAAGATGGTGACACGGACTGTGAAGCGCAAGGGCATGATCATGGGCATGATGTGCACCAGCATGACGCTCGCAAGAGGCGTTAAAGAGGCATCTCTATATTTGCTTGATATTATTTGGAATTTTTTGCTTTGTATCGAGCCTATCGAAGCTCTTGTGTGTTTGCATAGTTCGTGTCCCGTTTTGCACATCGGATCTCGAAGGATCATGTGATACCCCATGAATACACCTCCTGGAGATGATATCTCCATGTCCTGTTTATCTGCTGGTGAAGATTTTGGCTGGTTAGAGTTGGAGTACCGGAGGGTTAGATTAGCCGGAAGATGTGACGAAATGATTGTGGGAAGAAAGAAGTTGATAGAGGAGGACGTCAGCCATGACTGGCAAACCATGTACAGTAGTATGTACATACTACACTGGCTGAATAGAATTTACAGCACATACTGCGGGCTTCATGTGTACCGTCTAGATCTCCCCTAAGACCTTAACGCTACAGTAGAAGTAGGTATTCTCGTGGGGAAAATCCGTGACAGTACGATCCTTCCATATATTCCGCCACTGCATTTAGTGTACGCGGAGCAAATCCCATTGGACGGATATCTAAAGTATGTGTAGGCACCATGTGACCAATATGATGATTGCTCCTTATCCCATGTTTATATCACTTTTGGATCGTGTACTTTTGTACTGTCAAGTTCTCCCTGAAGTCGCAAGATACACCCTCTTGTGGCGTACTCTAGAACCAACTATGCTGACCCTTTATCATCCTATTTGGCATGCAAAAGAACACATGACGTGGATACAGGTCATACGCTTCCATCTTAGTATCTGATATATCTAGAGCTCTAGCAGATCTCCAACTGGAAATATTGTGGTGACGTTTCCATTGTAGACCGACTTTATACGATGTATGCGACAAGCCAAACAACTCAGCAAGAGTTGAAAACAACACATTGAAATTTAAAATCTTCATGAAACATAGAAATGAATAACAAAATTAATAACATCTCCAATTCCTTATCCAAATGGCTAATTGATTTTAGGGGGGAAAAAGGGAAATAAAAGAATAAACAGCCAAGCAGTTCTCGACTGTTCTTGAATTGTTCACGAGGTACGATCTCAGCGTCCACGTGAACCAGGATAAAAGCGTTCTAGACGTTCGATCGTGACGAATATTGATTAAATCTAGAGCAGAAGGTAAGCAACTGGTAATTAGGGTCCCCTGTCTAGTGTGGAAGATCACAAATTTAACAGAGCCCTTTCACTGTTCATCGGGTAAATTGGGTAAATTCCCGGTGGTGGTGAGTGGGTCTATAAATAAAAAAGATTTACAAAAAATATACTAGTTGCAGGTGAACTTTTTCTTTTTTTTTTTGACATCACGATGTGCAATTGCAGTTCAGTGGCGGGAGAACAAGCAAACCAAATGCAGAAATCATATGTAAGCGATAGGTAATTGATTGGTGCTCTGGTGTATTTTTCAATTGAATGGAGAAAATTAAAAAATGTATTGCGAAAGTGGGTTCTGAAATGGCCGAAGTGGGAAAGAGAAGGGGGTAAATTGCGGGTTGAATTGGAATGTTCGCAATAGGAGATACAATAGAAGATGGAGTAAAGAAAAGTCATTCAATGACCCAATTTTTATGCTTGCCAGCGGGACACTTATTTAACATCGTTCTCTCTTTATCCTCGTTGCGCCCCGTTGTTGTTCATATTTTTTCTTTTCTTTCTTCTCGACCTCTCTACTCTTTGTCTCTTATCGGTGTGACTACTTGCCGACGTCATCGCCCACCGCATGTTCACCGTCTATCGTTTACAAACTTTCACACGCACAGTTCAACTGAATTCAATGAATTAAACCCTTCCATTGCATAACAGCGACATAGAAAAGATAACTTCACAATCACTGCCACAATGCAAGGCCCATTGTACATCGGTTTCGACCTTTCCACCCAGCAACTCAAAGCTCTAGTCGTCAATTCCGACCTGAAAGTTGTCTACGTCTCTAAATTCGACTTCGACGCTGACTCCCACGGCTTTCCCATCAAAAAAGGTGTGATCACCAATGAAGCTGAGCATGAGGTCTACGCCCCCGTGGCATTGTGGCTCCAGGCCCTAGACGGCGTCCTCGTGGGTCTGAAGAAGCAAGGCTTAGATTTCGCCCGTGTCAAGGGTATTAGCGGTGCTGGACAGCAGCACGGAAGTGTCTACTGGGGACAGGATGCGGAGCGTCTCCTCAAGGAATTGGACTCTGGCAAGTCCCTGGAGGACCAGCTGAGCGGGGCCTTCTCACATCCGTATAGTCCCAACTGGCAGGATTCCAGTACGCAGAAGGAATGTGATGAGTTTGATGCCTTCTTGGGCGGCGCGGACAAGTTGGCAAATGCTACAGGAAGTAAAGCACATCATGTACGTTTGTTTTTGCTCTCTCTACTTTCCGGAAATTACAATTGACCAGAGATATGCTAATGGCCCTCCTTTTGGTAGAGATTCACCGGTCCCCAGATCCTCCGCTTCCAAAGGAAATACCCTGAAGTATACAAAAAGACCTCCCGAATCTCCCTTGTCTCCTCCTTCCTCGCATCCCTTTTCCTGGGCCACATTGCCCCCTTTGACATTTCCGACGTCTGTGGTATGAACCTCTGGAACATAAAGCAAGGCGCCTACGACGAGAAGCTTCTGCAACTCTGTGCCGGCCCCTCCGGCGTGGAAGACCTCAAGCGCAAGCTCGGTTCCGTTCCCGAAGACGGCGGCATCAAATTAGGCCAAATCGACCGCTACTACATAGAACGCTACGGCTTCAGCTCAGATTGCACCATCATCCCAGCAACTGGCGACAACCCAGCCACCATCCTGGCTCTGCCACTGCGTCCTTCCGACGCAATGGTCTCCCTGGGTACCTCCACCACCTTCCTCATGTCTACTCCCAACTACATGCCCGACCCAGCTACACATTTCTTCAACCACCCCACCACAGCCGGCTTGTATATGTTCATGCTCTGCTACAAGAACGGCGGTCTAGCTCGCGAACATATTCGTGATGCTATCAATGATAAACTAGGCATGGCCGGAGACAAAGACCCGTGGGCTAACTTCGATAAGACCACACTGGAAACGGCACCCATGGGTCAGAAGAAGGATTCTGACCCAATGAAGATGGGCCTCTTTTTCCCTCGGCCGGAGATCGTCCCAAATCTGCGGGCGGGGCAGTGGCGGTTCGATTATAACCCCGCTGATGGTAGTTTGCATGAGACGAATGGTGGGTGGAACAAGCCTGTCGATGAGGCTCGTGCTATCGTTGAGAGTCAATTCCTTTCTCTTCGCTTGCGCTCTCGCGGTCTTACCACTAGTCCTGGACAGGGTATGCCCGCTCAGCCGCGACGGGTGTATCTCGTCGGTGGTGGATCGAAGAATAAGGCTATTGCGAAGGTGGCAGGTGAGATCCTTGGTGGAAGTGATGGGGTATATAAGCTGGAAATTGGCGATAATGCCTGTGCGCTGGGAGCGGCCTACAAGGCCGTCTGGGCACTGGAGAGGAAGGACGGACAGACGTTTGAGGATCTGATCGGACAGCGGTGGAAGGAGGAAGATTTCATCGAGAAGATCGCAGATGGATATCAGAAGGGCGTGTTTGAGAGGTATGGGGCTGCCGTTGAGGGATTCGAGAAGATGGAATTACAGGTTCTGAAACAGGAGGGCGAGACGCGGTGATATTCCTCTATCCTCTTCGGTTATAGAAAATGCGCCTATGCATCTCTTCATGAAAATATTGCCTTTAATGAGTTTGCGATGTTGGATGGTTTGCGTTGGGTTCTTTTTTTTCCTTTCGGATTTAGTTAGTACCCTATAAAGTTCGGTTATAAATACAATAAACGAAAAGAATGATATGATAATATATTCTCAGTGTCCTTCATTTCTATTTGCTAACTATCTTATCATCTTAGAAACATCCGCATAATCTCTCATGAATAACCCGAAGTCTACACACAAATGCATTGCCTCCATATAGAAAGTAGAATGTCAAGAAGATAATCAAACCTCCCGACTTGCATGAGGTATCTGTCGAGCTCCGACGATAGGTATCAATCAACCAACCAACCAACTAACCAACTAACACCCCCGGCCCCATCCCTGTCCGCTGCCTCGACCATTACCTCCCTTTCTTTCCTTTTTTAAGTGACATGTTTTATACGGGATATCAGGAAGTCCTTTTGTTTTTCTCTTCTCCTCTCTGCTGGTGTTAAAGGCAGTAATCAACGCCTGTTTTATGCAACTATGCATCGCGAACTATATACCTTTCTTTTTTCTTCTGTTTCTTGAGCTTTCTTTTTTTGTTTTTTGGAAAAACGACAGAGGAATTGCCGGCGACAGAGCTATCAGTGTAAAGGATCACATGAAAACATCAGTCATCAAACCAAACCGTGGGGGAATCTAAGAGGAAGAAAAACAGTGAGAATGATCGAGGAGCATAGGGGAAAAGAAAGAATATGAAATGCAAAAGGATCATGCGCTCAATCGCTGGATAAAGGACTGCGGCGGTTGTTAGCGGGAGGTCTTCCTATGTCAACTGCCACCTGGAACTACATACCGGGAAGAACTGCCGGAAGCCCTTCAAGTCTAGCCGGCCTAATGCATTCAAGAACTCCTCTATGAGTTCGGCACCCATTCCCATGCCGGGCAATTCCTGGTCTCGAAGGTACTGGATATACTCCATACCGGTCTTGCAATAGATGGTGCGCTGCAATCCTCCAGCTTCGGCGAGAACCTGCTTGGCCTGTGCGTCTTTGGGATTGAAGGACGGGGTGGCGGGAAGTGCCCAACATAAGGGCGACATTCGGCTGATCATGAACTGTGCAAATCCTGGGAGAGCAACCTGCTGGGCGGTGCCATTCGTCGCCTCCGGTGCGATATCAGGACCGCCCCAGGAGCTGCCCATCTTGGAGAGCACCGAGAACGCCATCTTCGCGGTGGTAAAGTCCTCGACGTCCTTGGCGAAGTGTTCGATGGTCGTGATGACGGTATCGAACATGGGTTGATTTCCTGTTTCTGTTAGCCTTTGCATCGTTTGTAAATCGAGGTAGAAGGGCCGAAACTCACTCTCGCTGATGATCACTGCGCCCAGGTCATTGTTCAGAACCGCCAACAAGAAATTCAGATATTCCCTTTTCAACTCTGCAAGCTGGATTTCGTCATCGGTGCCAGTAGTGGGATCAGCAATTCCGGCGAACACCCGTTGTAGGAAAGGCGTCAATAGTGTATCGAGAATGGCATATATCTCGCCCTTGAATCCGAAGATAACTTGGTCCAAAAGGCGCAAGAAAAGAGCCATTTCATCCCGAGTAGAAGTCTGGGTTAGTAGGCCATCGATCCACCTTGGAAGCTGTGGGAGGATCCGGGAGCCAAGGACGCCAATGAGTCTGGAAAAGGCGAATCGAGCGGCTGTTCTAATATTGAAAGAGGTTTTAAGGGACTCAAGAGCAACAAGAGTAGCCTCGGACACTTGCAAGAATGCCTCAGAAACCTCAGCCGCGGGCAGCGAGGTTGGGGAGCTGGTTCCTGGCATCCAATCCGAGAAGCCTTTTGCTAGCGTTCCAAGAGCCATGATGTCATGATGTATTTGTAACAAAGCCCTCTCGTCGTTGGACTTCGCCGGAGCCAGGTTTTTCTCCATGTCCATGAACACAGGGTTCAGTACCGACTGCGCATACAGGACCTGCTTGTCGGCAGGGACAGTCGGGGTGGAGCAGATAATGCCAACGGCTTCGAATAGGTAAAGTTGGCTGTTAAAAACAGCATCTGCGGACCCTTCATGATCCTCCGACGACATTTCATCACCATCGGCGCCTTCTGTAGGAATTTCCGCCTGGATCACCAGAAGATCGCCTAGGGCCTGGACGACTGTCTCCGCAACATTGCCGATGTGGGTTCTCAATTGCTTGACTAGCCGCTGGAAAAGATACCAGGATCTGGTTTTAACCTTCTTCGTGGGGTGGTGAACAAGTTGAAGGAAGCTTTCCAAAACACCGGGGATGAGATGAGTGTGGTACAGGAAGAATGAACTGTAACGAACACAAATTTCCATGTACTGTAATTGGGTCGCCGGATGCGTGAAGGAGCGAATATCTGTAAATTGTCAGAGGAAGCGCGCATGGTCCCTGATACCTGATACCTACCGGACTCGACCATTCGTGACACCATCTCGATAAGTCGCTCTGCTGCCCGATTGTTGGGTTGGTTTTTGGTATAGAGATTGCCTGCCTTTACGGCAATGTCTCCAAAGAGGAACATTTCATGTAAGGCAAGGTCCAGATCACGCCAGTCTAACTGCGTACCTGACTGTCGTAGGTTCTCAAAGGTTGTTGCGACAACCTCGGAGACGGCGTCTATGTAGAGCTGTTCGTTCACCGTGGCGACAGTTTGTTGCATAATGGCTAGTCTCTTGCGGAGTTCCTGGAACTCTGCCTCGTCCGTTTGGTCATCCTCGTCGCCCCATGAGGAGGTGTCGTCGTATCGCATCTTGGCAATGATGGCCTTCAAGATAGGGAGCAAGATGGGGGAATGCTGCGCGGTAAGAGAAGGGTCGGTCTTAGAGACCTTTCTCAAGTATTGCAGAAGGTCACTGCCACAGGGGATGACGGTCGAGCAGACCTCGTCGTATTCATCGGAAAAGTATCTCAGGATGTGCGGAAGGAAGGCCTGCAATAGCCCATTGGCCTTTTCTCTGCATTCTCCAGAGATATTCTCTTGCTCCAAAGCGCGCACAATATCAACCACTGTACTATTGACTAGCTTCGCAACTGTTTCGGCGAGATCCGTATCGTATTTGAAGGTAAACCTATTCTCACAAAGAGGGGGGCTGTTGGAGAGCTGGGAAACGATCGTGTCCAGATTCAAGAAAATAATCATGTCAATCTTATCCTCCGGTTTCATCTTTTTGCCGATGATTTCTGTAAAAACGTCGACTGCTGCATCCCGCACCTTTTCCTCTCCCGCCCTGAGCTCCGCCTTCTGTGCCCGGGCCAGTTGCTGGAATAAGAGATCGAGCATTGTCTGGTTGACCACAAGACTGATATCAATCCAGCTAACCCAGGAACCAACTGCTTTCAAACACATCTCTACGATCACGTCGTTGCCGTCCCGCCATTCCGACAAAATCTGTTGCCACGAGCTTGCGATCTTTTGCATGTCTCTCATCCGGATCAAGTCCTTCAGCGAATTTGCCCTATCCTGTTCCGTACGAGATCTGGACACGAGGACATCACCGATTTCATCGTGGATAGAATTAACGACTCGAAGGTAGAATACAATCCCCAGCATATTGTCAGGCGACGTGCTCGAGGCACCCTTGTACGTTAAGCTCAAGAGATCATCGAAGAATGACTCCCAGCCGTTCCCGTAGAGCGCCGAGAAGAGGAAGGTAATCGTCTGGGCAATTTTGTTCTGAATATTGGGAGGATCTGGGTTTGCATTCTCCTGCCCATAGACCTGGCGGAGGTAGTTCATGAGGCCGTCCCGGACATATCCTAGAGCCTGAGGGTCAATCAGTCCAGCCTGGGCGGCACTATTAACCACCTCTAGCGCTACATGTCGTATGATCTCAGAGTGCTGGGGAGTCTTTGTGAAGAGAGCGAGGCAGACTTGCCATCCCGAGGGGTCGGTACGGAGTTGGTTCAGGTAATCGAAGGCTTGCGCCTTGAGGGCTTGGTCTGAGGAAGGATTCCAGGCGATTTCTATGGCATTCGCTACCTAAGTGATTACATATTTGTCAGGTCCAGGATATCAGGAAGAGCTTTTTTTTAAGATTAAATGGTTATGCAAACATGTGTCGGGAGGGGCATGAGGGGAGAGGAGGGGAGGGCAAATGGTGGGGTGGACTCTTTTTTTTCGTGTCCCTTTTCAATAAAAAAGGTAAAAAAGAAAAAAAGAAAAACTAATTGGAATGAACGAAAGTGCGACATTGAATCCATACCTGTTCTTCCATCTTCGACCAGCCGAGTTGCCTTCAGAGTCAGTAGACTCGGAAAGCAAATCGAATGACGGTGTTCAAAGGGGGACAAATCGATGTAGTTGGGTTAAAATTCAATGGCGGCGGAGAGTCATATCACAGAGAGGGCCGTTTATCGAACCATGACTAGTGCGTTGGAGCAGCAATCGGTGGTTTCGGGGGTTTAGACTAGTGGCAGAGACCCAGTTAGTCGGTAAACGAAAAATTTGTTAATGGATCGATTGGACTCACCGGACGGACAACGGAGATGAGGGGAGGAGTTGAATCCTTTCCAAACACGCTCGCAACCTTTCTGTCGGCTGACTACGTCACTTTGTGTAGATGAAACAGGAGAAGAAAAAAAATGACTGAGGTACAGCTGGCATGGATGTCATTGTGTGCGGCTACAAACTGGGCTTGGTCACCCCCCCGGCCGAAAAGGGAAAGGAGCGCGTGCCTCCCGAGAGCCCTTGGCTGCCGGCAGATTCAGGCAGCATGCGGTAGCTCTTCTGGGTTAACGGCGCTCTCGAGAAGCTTAGCCCTCAAAGCTACATACTTCTTGCATCCGTCTTGTCCTATTACCACTATAGCCACCGACATGTGCGAATAATTGTTGGTGCTATTCGACTAACAACACAAAGCAACCAATTAAACAGTGCTCTGTTTTTACCTCTTAACAATCATTAGTACCCTTTTTGTCTACCCCTTCTACCATTGGCCTCAACTATTTCTCTGCTCCTAGCAAATCTTGACAACAACTTTCGAAAAATGCTTCTGTTGCTCGAGATGCTCATATGCCTCTCTCACCTCGTGTAGACCAAACACCTTTTCATCAATTATGGGCCTAATGCCATTCTCTTCAATGAAATGATTCATGGCCTGGAACTGAACTCGGGTCCCAAGGAGCAATCCACACGAGGTGCAAAGATAACTCAGACCGTCCATCAGGCTGGGCATATCGGGACTGGACGCCCCACCTAAGAATCCTGCTAGTGCGATAACTCCCTCCGGCCTGATAGCCTTGAGTGACTGATGAAGGGTAGATGCACCGCCCACATCGACAACCAAGTCTACGCCTTGGCCACCAAGGGTAAAACCTTTTGCGGCTGTTCCCCAGTCAGGTGTGGATTTGTAGTTGATGACGTGGTGTGCACCTAGTGATTTGAACTTGGACGCTTTAGCCTGGTTGTTGCTATCACCGTCGCACCCGAAGCCAGGGCAAACTAACGGTTTGACAAGTTAGCACGTATATCCTGGACTGAGACCCACACAGCCGGGCTAGTCAAAAGGAAGGTACTACCTGCAGAGCAGGATAGAAACACCTCCTGCTCCCTGCACCAACACTACACGGCCCTTCTTGGGCTCTCTCCCTTTAAGACCAAACAATGCATTCCATGCCGTTAGACCAGAACAAGTTAATGTAGCCGCTTCATCGAAAGACAGGTTGTCAGGCATCTTCACCACCGACGTTTCATGGTATATGCCATGGCTCTGTAAGGTCCCGTCTACGCGCTGACCAAGACCGGCCTCTATATCGGCAAAGGTAGCGGGCGCATCATCGGCCATATGAGTTGTCATATGGGTACAAACTCTATCCCCAGGCTTAAGATTGCAGACTTGGGAACCAACGGCCTCTACAACACCCGCTCCGTCGGATGCTGGAACAATGTTGTTTTTGATAGTCAGACCGAATTTTCCCTGGTTTATATTAGTACAAGTTTGATAGAGATTGTGGTAGAGGGTGACGCTTAGAATATATTTGCCAAGGCAAGAGCAATATCACGGTAATTTAAAGATGCTGCATGAATTCTGACCCGTACATCGTGGTCCCCCAGAGCAGGTAGAGGATGATTCTCAACGAATTTGAGACTTGAGATTCCTCTTTGGCCAGTGAGGGTCCATGCTGCGGTTTGAGATGCCATTGCTGGAATGTGGGTAAATGTCCTGTATGAATTACCTAGATGTTTGGCTTGCCATATAACTACGAGGTACTTAAATAACGTGTTTCATTCTGCCCCTTATATCTTGTCAAAAAATGGACTTGAATCATGTCCAACCAGTCATTATGGAAAGCATTGAATCATGAATGGTGGGGGAAATCCCGGGACCGATCATATCCACATTGCTCCACCGCAAACCGTTTCCATGCCTATTTCGGCGAGAGCAAACGGCATTTGCGTTTAGCGGAGTATGCCAAGTGCACTGGACTTTGCGCAGTCTCAAAGCCCGAGAACCGGAGCTGAACAATATTAGTAATGCTTTGGAAATGCAATCTTCAACTGAAGGGCTAGCCCGATGGTGAAGTTTGGACCTAGAGCGCCTTCTGCGCCGGCTTGAAGATAGGGTTTATGTATCTAGCTCATATGCGCCATGAGTTCTCAACTAGACTGCTTTTGTTCGACATCTAGCAGTGAAAGGATTACTAGATACGTGGTCTCGGGTCGAGGATTTAAAACCATATAAGAGGATCATGCCAGTTTGATGTGGTCAAGATGCTTAATAGGGGACAGTTTCTGTCGCTTGGTATAGTCACACTGAAGGCGTATAGACCCTTACAGATCTCTTGTAAATAATGCACACGTTCTGGCCCCTTTCACTGCCGAGGCAATTGTCTGTGAGTGTTTGATAAGCAAGATATATGACCAACGCTGGATGCCACCCAAATAAGTCTAACATGCAAGTTGTAGGTACAGTCAGACTTATCGATCGAGACTGATGGGCCTGGGTTTACTTTACTAAGCTTCTTATGGAAAATCCTACTCATCATGCTAGCAGTATAACGTGTATTTCGAAATAATGTACTAGTTTATGACGATAAACTCTAGCACTATAGTGTGGATTTAGGGCTTTGACTGATAGACTTTAAACCCAATGGTTACCTTAGCAGTTTATTGTTGTGAAGGATGGTGATACCTATACCGTAGGAATATCTTGAAGAGAGAGAAGTTTGTATAGGTTCTCAGAAGGACAAAAAGTTGGTCATCACAGGGCTCATATCAATATGCAGACAATTAAATATTATACTCAATTGGTAGTGTACATGATAGGTGCTTATGGTACATAGTTTAGCCGAGATCGTACTATGCTACACACTTATGTGGCAGCCTTGAGAGCTGGAAGAAGCATCATGGAGACACGGAAGCCTGTTTAAAAGACATTGACATAGCCAGTAGTGTTCATCAGCACTTGGGATATTGGATGGGCTATGCTGAATCTCTTTATGAAATACTTATGCCATCTGCTAGCCCAAAGAACCTTGTAGCAAGCACACAACACCAAATATGCTTATAGATCATGACCGACGCGAATATTTGGCCACGCCTACCCCCGACGCTCTTTCAAAAGGGTGGAATGCTGGCTGTAGGTCTTAGATTTGAAGAGGTACGGAAATTCTATGATTTTCCTGAGTCCCTGCTTCTGGAGGTTGAAAGTGGTCTTATGGTCTCACTTCAACTAGAAAGCCACCTACGAAGCTTGCTGTTCCACATCACGCCAAAGACAACCCTACTGCACGTTCTGAATATAGCCACCCGGATGCAATCACTGTACTAACCTGCCTGAGTTGGTACTATGGGGTTCGAAGCAATGAGGGCCTTTTTAAAACTTTCAGTCACCTTCTTAGCGCAAACCAGGCTAATATGGAATATCAGCTGTGGGTAAAGAATGCTAATCAATTGCCAAAGAAATTTCAGCAGCTGGTAAGTATTAACTTGCAAGATCGTCATCTATGCATCGAGAAGATTTTTCCTTCGTTTCGATTTGCAAATAGTGTCGTGGATTGCCATCTCTCCCACATTGTATTTCCCAAGGAAATGAGGGAGTTTACATACAAGTTGTCCGCATCAGACTGGGATATTGACGAGGTCAAATGCCATCCCTTGACCGGGTTCAGTGGGAACATTATAGGGGAGCTGTTACGTTAGGGGCAAATCTGACAAAGGACAGATTAGTTCAAGGTGAGACCTGTACAGTGCATTGATTAATTTGATCGCTAATGCTTCTCTAGCTTGTATGAGGATGCGAAGGCTGGGCCAAGGTCAATCGGTTGTATTCTGTGTGCCAGACGAAATCTTCCGACGCGTGTCTCCGACAACGGAAGCATAGAGGTATCCGATGTTGTTTGTTGGGCGATTTCCGAAACCTGGCAGGACATGAAAGGAATATCCCTCTATGGGCCACACAAGGCCTACGGTTTCTGCACCATGAATGGCTGTGGAACGAGATGCGCACGCAGGGGAATGTTATCTTATATTCTAGTCACGCACCGAGGTTCCTTGAAGATGAAGCCCTATCCTTGGAACAAAGGTATAGGCCTCGTGTGACGCAAAACGGCCTGGAAGATCTCGTACACGATGACAAAAGCTAGGCTGCATCTTTGATTGCGACCCGTTGTCGGGAATTCGGAAGCGTGTCCAGATGAAGAGCAAGAATGGGAGGTTGACGTAGATGTAGAAAGGGAACAACAGGTTCAGCGCTCCCTAAAGATTAAGCCGAAGAAGCACATAATTCATAGAGATATGAAGAAATACATATCCACCGAAGGAATTGCTGCAGGCTCTATAGCCTTTCTGCTGGCCGTCCAATCTCTTGACAGGACGAGAGCTGCCCGGCATCTTAGGGTTCTACAATTCCCGGGAAAGTTGCTTGTAACACGAGATTTTGCGCAAACTGTCGTGCCTATAGATATCTTGTCCCTTTCGGCCGATGTCTTTCAAAGGCCGGTGCAATGGGTCCTGACAACTCGCCATCGGAGTAACTCTACCGATCAAAAACCGACTGCCCGCCAAATGGTCGTCATCAGCCCTTACGAAGCGCAGGAATTTTATAACTCTATCAAGAAATCTAAGCATGTGATATTGCACCTCTATGCGCCCCGGTCCAATGTAGGGATCAAACCTTTGGGCAAGTTAGACCTCTACAATGTCTCGGGTGAGCTAAGGAGAGCAGACCAAGACTAAGTCCTTTCGAACTGAAGTGGGTTCATTGTGGGCTAGTGTATCAAGACTTGGGTTTTCACAGCTTAAGTCTCTGTGATGCTATCGTAGAGCGCAGTGCTAGGGAGTCTGGAGTTTCAACTCTGCGGTGTTACAGTATGGATATTTGGGTGAGTGTCTTAGAGTTCTGGCAATGTGGAATGAGTTTGTATCTCTTACTTCTCTTTAAGTTAGTGGGTCCATGTTACTATTTGGAATGCTTAGAACTGGCCTCGTTAAAGCCGATCCCTCGCAATATCAGGCTATAGACCTGAATTATTTCATGAATCACTGGCTCGAAATTGAGTGTCACTAACTATGAGAGGCCCTTGCTGTAATTACTCAGCAGTGGATTGATCGTACAGCCTCAATGTATTGCTATCTTGTATTAGGTTTGGACTAAATGTATGAAGTATCATACCTTTCAAAAAGCGAAAACTGATCGACATCAAAAAGCCAATACATTTTAGTTTGAGAGGCTGTAGTAACAATTGCTCTTGGATGTTTGGATCAAGGATGAAATTAGATCAATCACGGGAAGTGGGGATCACGGGAAGATCACAAGAGGTTTGTCGATTTATCACATTTCATGCTGTTTTGCTGTCTGCAAATAGCTCCATTGATATAGCGCCTCTCGCGGTCATCATGACTCCCTTCAATACAGGGAACCACCTGATTGTATTTGGGCTTGGGGTAAGGGAGAAACAAAGAACGAAAGGAAAGAGTGGACAAGAGTGAATTGACGTCACGGCAAGACAAGATGACAATTCATGAACTTCGGAGCTGAGACATCCAAACCTAGAGATCGCTTTTGGAATGTAGAGCGGTGATCTTTCAGCTCTCCTTTCCTTCCCGGAGGCCCACAGCTTCGACCTATATTACTATCTATCCTGTTGCTCGCCCTGAGCCTTATTTGAATCGATACTGTTTCTTCGCGATATCCTCCTCGGCGGTCATTCGTGCGCTGTGTTGGCACAAGTCCGGCGATGGCCGTCAATGAAGAAACCCCCTTGCTGCGTGCCCGCCGCCAGGACAAGCAGAAAACCAAGGCCGATGGTGTCCGCGACAAACTGGCAGTCTACGGTTCATTTTTCGGTGAGCAATATCTGCAACCGTCCGGACGCAACCATCGTATTGATTCTACTACTTAGGCGTTTTCCTCGCAGCTGCAGACGAATCCATCGTTCTTTCCACATGGAGTGTGATAGCCTCGGAGTTTCACCGTCTATCGCAGGGATCATGGCTCTTGGCCGCGTATAACTTTGGGTGGTGCGTGTCATTGCCGGTGGTTAGTCCGACTAGTCGCTCTAAGGAGGGTGTGAGACTGACATTTTCGCGGCCTAGTATGGTACGCTATGCGACATATATGGGCGAAAGAATGTCCTTATCAGTGCGTATGCGCTTTTTGCGGCGGGATGTCTGGCTTGGTAGGTCAATCCCACCGGACGGGATTGTCTATGCGAATAGCTTCTAACGACCAATTCTGATGTAGCGGGACTAGCACGTCCATGGTTCAGCTGGTGTTGGCCCGGGTGCTCACCGGGGTAAGTGCAGGAGGGATGGTTTCGCTGGTGTCAGTTGTTCTTACTGGTGAGTATCTATACCACCTTCTCTTGCCACGCTGACCCTTTTTATTCCTATAGATATGGTTCCCACCGACGAGGTAGCCTTGCTCCGAAGCTATGCCAACGTGTTTAATGTTGTAGGTCGCAGTATAGGTGCTCCGCTGGGAGGCTATATTATTGGTGCTGTGGGATGGAGATGGTCTTTTATTGGCCAATTGCCCGTGGCATCTATCTGTCTACTAATTGGGCTATATGGGCTTCCATCGTCCTTAAACTCAACCAAAACTCGTGATACAGATGAAGTAAATTCCCGACATAGCATCATGGGGCTTGACTTTGCTGGTCTTGCCAGCTTCTCTGTCGCCATCCTTCTTCTACTCTTATTAATGCAGGAGTTGAGCGCCCCATCAGATAACTTCCAAATTCCGCTTACGATACTCGCCCCAGCCGTTTGTGCGGCAGTGATTTTGTTCCTTGTGATAGAAGCATACTGGGCTCGAACCCCACTTATTCCGTTGCATCTCCTGAAGACCTCGCTGGGTGGGTATTGCTTAAACCAGATACTGATGATGTCGAGCCGCTCGGGAGTAAGTTCCACTTCCCTGAATGCATGATTTTATGTTGATATCTGACTTTTGTTGTAGCTTATGAGTAACTTGGCCCCATATCTGATTCGGGTCAAGGGTGTATCAAGCTCATTGGCTGCGTCAGCCTTCGTGTTGGCTGCAGTTGGGGTGTCAATTGGAGCATTAATCGCTGGAAAAGTTATCAAAAGGTAGTGACACTGCACCGTGGAACACTCGTCCATGAACAAGTGAAGTTTTCTGACCATTCGCAGATCGAAGCGATACCGAACCATGACTGTCATCGCCGTTTGTGGTGCTTTCATGACCTACTTGCTCATTTTTATTCGCTGGCGAAATGGCTGCTACCTTTGGGAATTAGTATATCTGTTGCCTAATGGTATGGCTATTGGTATTCTCTTCACCACACAGTTTATTGGTATGTCGCTGGGCGTGCCGAGCGAGAGCCTCACCACTTGCATCACTACATATTACCTTGCTCAGCAGGCCGGTAATATCATTGGGCCGGCAGCGAATGTGGCCGTTGTGCAACGCATTTTTATGGGGAGGTTGGAGAAGAATTTAAATCAGTGGGACGAGAAAAAGGTTTGTCGATATACGCATATCCGACTTGTATGAGTTTCATGCTAATCGTAGTCACCAGTTCATCGGTCAGATTCTCAACGATGACAGGTTCGCTCAGAACCTGTCCCCTGCGGTTCAGTATATTGTTCGGTGGAGCTATTTGAATGCATTCCACTGGTGCCTTGTGAGTACGATACCATTGATGAAAGCATACGAAGCTAATTTCTGCAGTGATTTCTGCCGCATGTGCATTATTTATGCTGCCTACTGTGCTATGGGTGAAAGAGGAGAGTTTACTGGATTAATCATGTATACTAGTTGGACTTCTATGTGTATAATTTTTCAATATCAAATAACTGGATTGCTTGTAGTTTATCTATGGAGAAATGAATATAGGGCGACAAGGTCTAGATTTGCCGGTACCTATGATGCGCTATGATGAATAGGCACGAGAAGTGAATTTGATCCGACGCCATAGACGAATGGGAGATCGGATACACATTATCGTTGAGTCTATTTGGTTGTATCAAGGATAATTCAACGGGGCTTTCTTTCTACTGGATTGCCCCCAGGTAGTGAGTATCCACCACCATGGTAAAGCTGCCACATCAGCTCAGTGAAGCATCAATTCCGGCATCAGTTCCACCACGCATAGTGCTGATGTAAATTGGAATAGAGCGTTTTCTGTGCCCGCGACACGTCCGATTTACTGATAACACAGTAGACAATCGGCTCATCAGCAGCTACAAACAGTCAGACCGACATAAACCAAAACTAACAGCACCCAGGAAAAAAATTAAAATAAAAACTGGAGATTTAAAAAGGAAAAAGGAAAGAAAAAAACATACCAAGGGAAATCATATGCACAGGAATGCAACAAGCACTCAAGATGGAAAAAGTCGAAGACAAAACCTCACTACAGTGAAGTTTCGAAGCGATTTTCACGGAGAGCATAACCATATCCCCAGCCAAGGCGGGACGGCTATACGGCTGCATCTCAGCCTGAGCGGCCTTCAGAGCGTCCTCGCTAACCGCGTTCGAGTCAATTGCGATCGTCACGCAATTGTCGCTGGTCAGCAGAAGCTCGACAGGGATGTTCGAGTCATCGATGATTGAGAGAATGCGGGCGTAGAAGCCGTAGTGGGTCAAATTTCTGTTAGAGTTCACGCAGAGAAGGCTTATATTCTCTTTTGCGGAGACGGAGATCTGGCGGTCTTTGCATTTTGTTATGTCCTGATATACTGAGTCAGGAGGGATGATTTTGGGCGTGTTGATTAGGAGGGGACTGGAAACTTCGTTGGTCTTACCTCGGGCTTACCCGGCTGAATGAATTTTTCGGGACTGTGAAGAACATCCGTGTTTAACCTTGCTCCGAACTCCATGGTGGGGAACTTTTGGGGGGAGAGATTGCTGTGGTTTTTCGCTGAATCGCAGAAACATGAAGAGTGTGAGTGGGAATCACTTCAATTGGGAAAGCATCCAGTAAGAGTCTGGTTCACTGGGAGAATGAGGGAAGATTAAAGAGTGGACGTTTCGACGAGAGTTGTAGATCGTGACTCAGGGGTGGATCTAATCAAATCGTTTAAATCGTTTAAAAAGCGGGCCTCTGGGCTCCGGCTGCCGAAAAATGCCGCAGAACAGACCGAATGTCTGGCAGTGGCTTTAATCGCGATGTTTTCTTGAATGACATGCAGCTTGATGCAAATTTGCCTGCTTTTAAATTGGCGCTGACAGTGAAAAGGACAGCTGTTGCTGTAATTAACCAGATGAATGCACGACAGACTCCATAGTGGTCCGAGGGGGTTCGTGATGAAGAATATATATCTGTCTCTGCACACTACCAAGAGTTATTCAAAGTTGCTACTCGTTCAGTCTGGTTATTACAAAACTGTTAAACAATCCTCAATAGTCCACTGGTTGACAACTCCTGTTAACTAGTCACAACTTTTAATAACCAAACTTACAATTTCCCGTTGCTTAAATTCTACCAACCCCCCCAAGCCACTAGCTTTCACAGTTACCTATTAAACGAATATGGTCGTCTGCAGGCAAGATTGCATGCCCCTTGCTTATTTGGGCAATAAATCCTCAAATGAAAGGGCGATGTTTTCACCTTACTCTGTTATTCATGTATATTACCTGCGGGCATTGCTTTTGAACCACTAGGTATGAAATGGCTGGGACTAGGGGCTGGCTCATGTAAAGATTCCTTACTGGCATACTTAACTCACCCAAAGGATCTGTCTTATAGCATTATTATACTCCGTACATAGACGCTTATGATGATCATTGTGATATACTGTCTATTATAGTATAAATTTGCTTCTGGGTCTGTGCGCATGGCAGCAAAAATCCTCGGGATCCACTATGGACGGCAATACTCCGGAATAACTCGGCAAATGTTATATTCTCAGTTATCACAGAATAGATGGAAAAACAAATGCTACCTAGTATATTCAAGGAACTATGAGGAATCAGCAAGTGGCAATTTTCAATACCAGTAGATCAGAGCCTTAATCCAGAAAGCATTAATGTGAGTGGTTGCCCTGAATGCCCAGCATCTAATGCAGGAGCACAGCCTCAGGCCCCGTATAAGACAACTGGGCCCGCACACCAAAGACGCTTAATGTTTACGGACCCATTCCTCACCCACAACCATGGTTTCTCTGAGAGGTCTCCTGAAAATTTCCCAGCGCCATCCCCGACCCACTGCGTCGGCATTGAGAGCGTCCACTGTAGCCCCCGCATCAGGCTCCCCGTTCATTAACAATTCGCAGGGGGCTTCGGCTGCTGTGGCGGATTTATCCGATGCTCTTGGCACTGTTTTTGATCAGATTGATCTGGATGGTAAGACATTCTTTAATCAGAACAAAACAGTTCCTTATTGAAAATAGGCGATTTGAATGGTCAGATTAATGGGCTGTTGGATCGACTCGATCAAGAGGCATCCAAGTATAGTAACTCCCAGCTGAAAGATGAGCACTATCCTGACTGGGATTGGTATGAAAAATATACTTAATTGACCATGAGTGTCCTATATTAATACGCACTTCCCAGCTCTCCGGAAAAAGCTGAATTGATCTCCATTGCGTGGCACTGTGCCCGGGAGGTGTATGAAACATCCTCGGGTCTACCTATTGGCCCTGTTCGCAATGGGGAGTGGAAACTCGAACCAGGCGATTGTGTTGTTCCATCAACTGATGGGACAATCAAAGCTGTCTCTTTCAGTCGTGTGTCATCAGTTGAGAAGGTGACTGATCACAAGGATCTCCCTGTGCTAGTAGTTGCTATTCGAGGGAGTGCTAGTGCAGTCGACCACATGGTAAATGCTAACTATGAGCCGCGGAATGCAGATGACTTCATTGTGAGTCTTGCTCAGTAGAATATACATTTCTCAAGCCGCTATTCCGCTAACGAACAAACTGTACAGGACATATCTCGGCTTGCGCCGGAGAACAGCACCAATCTTCAGGCGCATTCTGGGTTCCTGAATAGCGCAAAGGCTCTGGACAAAACCGTGTCACAGGGGATAAAGAACTATATCCGTCAAAGTGCAAGCGAATACAGTCACGTCTTATTCACCGGCCACTCAGCAGGTGGTGCTGTTGCCTCACTTTTGTTCCTTCGGCATATAACACAAGAAAGCGCTTGTAAGAGACCCAGTTATCTATATCAGCTTCAAAATCAATATTCTGACTTGAAGAATTAGACCCAGAGGTCCGATTCTCGTGTATAACATTTGGGGCACCTCCAGTGGTGACAGTTCCTCTTTTGGAAAGTCCAGTACCTGGAGTTTCCAGCGGAGTGTGTCTAAATATTATTAACGAATTTGACCCTGTTACTCGGGCAGACGGGGCATACAAGCATTGCCTGGTAGATTTGATCCACTCGATGTACAACCGGCAGCCGTCACAGCCTAGATCTGAGCCGTCGAGTACCACAGTTGATTCGCTGTCTACCGAGGATAGCGAATGTTTTTCGAAAGGAAAAGACTGGCCTGTTCTGCCTTCATTTTACTTCCATACTGGCCCTCGCATTGTCCTTCTTTTACGAGTTAAGGCCAGTATTAAGGAGACTTGTCTTCGGTTACGCGCTATTGAAGTACCCCGGGCTGACTTCGACCGATTGTTATTTTGTCGGGTTGCAGTGCATCGACGGGTATGCTATGGGGAGAGGGTGGAATTGATTACCAAGGGAGAGCTTAATGAGAGATGTAGTTGGGATGATACCATATTTAAATAGTCTGGCCAGGTTGTATAAGAAATATTTAGCTAACTGTACTACCACCACCAATAGCATAATGGCTCCAATAATCAACGTACTGGCAGGGCCACTCCCTTCCGTCTCGCAATTTCAACGGCCCTGTAATAACGCAAATCATTTTCCACTTCCTTCACGATGCTATCAGCATCGCAATCAATATCATCTAGAATATCCATGTCATCATTTGCCGCAAAAGCTTCCATCGCAGATGTAATAGCCTCACAATCCCAACAAAGGCAGACGTTATATTGCTGACCGAAAGCCATCTGAAACAGATCATGCGTCCTATTAAACCTAATGTCCAAAAACGACTTCCCCAACTTGTCATCATGACTGATCATCCTTCCAGCGCGTGCATTCAAACTCGTCCGGTACTGCTCCGGATCGGATAGATGAGTATGCCAAACCAGATCAACGTCCAGCGTCGGCACCAGAGTCGTTGTCGGGTAATCACGAAACAACTGCAGGAATTTATCGTAGCGGTCAATGGCGCGACGAAGTGTCCCTTCAACTGCCGGGCTGCGGATCCAGAGATGGGCGTGCATCTTTTCTACAAACTTGAACTGTCGCTCGACATTGTTCTTCAAGGGGTTGTTCCTGAGAGCCTCGGCTTTAGTGGCTTGAACCATCTCAACGAAAGCATAGTTAGCCGGAGTATCTACATATTTCAATAGTGAAAATGGGCTCGTCTTTGAGCTAGACCCGTACTGCGAGAGGACGTGTTTAGCGTGGCTTTTGCCTTTACCGATTTCAACGAGCGTCTCGAAGAGGTCGGGTACAAAATCCGCCTGTTTTTCTAGCCAGTCCTTCTGGGCCTTGGGGAGACGGTATGACCAGTCACGCTGGTTTATTGCCTCGTGCTAGTTGACTTGAGTTAGGAAGTATTCTCCATGTTGGACTGCGGTTCGAGTTGAAAAACGTACGATTTGTTGCCATGGGAGGGGAGCTTTGCGAACCCGTTCCAATTTATGTTTGACACAGTAGAAATCGAAGTCAACGGGGTTCAGCAAAAAGGCATGCCACACCATAAGTACATCTGTGTAGTATCTTAGTATCGTTTCTCTGGCAAATTCACAAACATACAGTAGACAAAGGTAGACTTACCGACAGGTGGCAATGGACCCAGTCCTGATGGCTCGTTGACATTCTGTGAATCAGCACTGGAACAGGACATCTTATTAACCACCCGAATCCATCTGGTGAATCGGCATACTGCGAGCTCTAGGAAATAGGGCCATTTATTTTCTCTTCTTATTGAAAACGTGTCGTCCCCAACCGTGGCTGTATAAGACTCATATTTGCGTTTCTTTGAGGAATACCGCTTGCGGTAGACCGTTCTTTTATTCGGTTTGATGCCAAAAGTCTTATCGAGATCAGTGGATTGCTGGACTTTGTCTCTCAGAGCATGAAATACTTCCAACAGCTCGAGGTGGACGGCACATTTGCTGATGCTGGGGAGATCGTGTTGATTCGTGCTGGTTAAGCATGACGAAGGTTGGAACAGTTGTGGATCTGGTATTATTGGCTCTTCTGACTTGTCTAGAGCCTTTTGATATCCATAGATGGTATATGTTAATTTGGCATTGTTGATTTCCGCGCCGCTTGCGCGATGAAGAGACGCGAGGTTCAAGGAGACGTGGAGAGCCATGTTTAGTGCTGATCAAGGATGGTTTGCTTGTAAATTGAGGAGACGATAGTGTATATAAGATAAGAGATATGCGCAGTAAACTCTAGATGGATCATCTTCTCCATGAATACCGCCAAGCTGTCTCAGCCTCAGTGCGTCAGGCGTTGCTTCGCCGCAACCCCCCGAATACGAGGCGAGTTCGGAGATCCGGGCAAACGGCAAGGCTGCACGACACCCTCGCGTGATTTATGAATAGTGGCTCCTTGGCAATTTGCATAGCAACACCTAGCTCCAATCTAGGTTATTAAAACACCAGTACATCACTCAGATTTTCAAGATTACTATTACATCATGAGATATCAAAATGAGTTCAAGTCATGTACGCCGACAGCTGGATAAATCTAATACGGCCAGAATATTAGTTTGCTACGTTTTCGCCGTATTTCTCCCTATATTTGCATGTGGCATCATCCAATCGAAAACACCGTCTCAGCCAGAAGTCAATTATTTGCTACATAGAATCGATCATGGCCTCTCCCTTCTTCATGGTCTCAAACTGGTCATGGCCGTAGTATGTACCATGGTTTGATGAAATTCGCGGAGAAATTAGCGCTAATGGTATTCCCTTTGTACCAGAACTGGGTTTTGGTATTCCTGGCGTTCAGTGTGTTCTTCTTTCTTGGGGCAAGAGAATGGTATTTTGTACTCTTAGGGACACTGAATCTGGTCCTGACCACTGTTATTGTGGCCGGGATAGCGATGCAATCAAAAGTCCTCCCGCATACCTTTGCTGGTTGCAATAGCTTAGCAGCAAGCTGGCGTGAGGCCTTGCCAATGGACATGAGGGACTCCCCTACAGCCAGCAAAGCTTCGCTGCATTCTGCTTGCAAGACGATGGTTGAGCATTGGGCCTTCGCAGTTGCCATAGTGTAAGACTGATGTGTATCCCTCAAATTTATCGGCAGCAGCTAACTCAACCCAGGGTCCTTTACTTTCCCTATTCTTTACTTATGATATTCCACGGTGTTCGAGGAATCATGCATCCTCGTCCGCCTCAGAATTCGCGCTCCATGAATACTAAATCTCTCAGAATTCAAGCGGCCATTTATTTCGCTTTCAGGTACACAGCAAAGCTCTTTCAGCGGGTTAAGCCTCGGAGTGGAAAACAACCAACACAGGTAGTGACGCGAGAGGCCAACGGGATTAACCAACGCTCGAATATATTTACCAGGCTCCGTCGTGGCGAGAAATCTACTGCCTTACCTCTACGTGTCCTGCCTTCTAACGTACTTCTCAAGATTGCTTCATATACTCATTACGTGGATATAGTCAACCTACACACTGCCTATGGCAGTCTTTTCCTCGCCTATATTGGGGATAATGAAGAAGAGTCTAAGCTTGAGGAGCTTCGAATGTATACCTGCGCATCAGAGCAAGCAAAACAAGAGTGCAGACTTTGCAGAGCACAAATATGCGAGGTACAGTTGTTTCCTGCAACTGAGCACATGCAATGGTTTACTAATGAAGATACTAGTCATGCTGGAAATCCGTTCCCGTCCCGCACACAATAATACGTACGCATTTGGAATCATGCAAGCCACGTTGCTCTCGTTGCTTCTATAAAAAATACAGTCTGAATGTGTCTGACTGGTGCAATATGGACGCTATCGCAAACAAGCGATCTCAGCCTCAGCATGGTCATTATAATCAGCATAAGAACGTCTGCCGAGGTTGTGCGGCGATGACCGACTCGGAAAGGCTCCGGATGGTGGAACTACAGGATAAGGCGGAGATGCACAGGTTCTCCAAGGAATCCTTGTTTTGTGCAGATTGCAAGGTCAGGTTGCCGCCATCAGGTCCACGTTGGTGGATTTGTCTTTGTGGAGAGGAGTGCCGTCATCAAATTCATCCCCCGTGGGGCTTTGGGAGCAATAGCTAGGGTGCACATGGTGTTGTAATTGGATAAACATTGAGTACTTCAAGATTGTGGGCGGAGTACAGATCTCTAATGGTAATGACTTGCATGTTTACGATGAAAGGATTATGCACATTAGCACAGTTGTACCAGTTATCTACTAGGGCTGTTCCATTTCCGAAGGGCAACACGTGGCTCAAGCTCGGATGCCCCAGCCTCAGCGAATCCCGAGTCCCCTCCTTTTACAACCTCTGTAGGCAACAATGCAATAGCTAGCATCAACCCAAGCCAATGACATAAATTACTCACCTCGCAGCCTCACTTTCAGTTTGAACAATCCGGTACGCAAGGCAGAAAGCGTCGATTGATACAATGCAATGCAATGCAGGTACACGAGAACTACCGAGAAACCGTTTCCTTGGCGTAACCGCGCCCGGCCTCGCTAGTCGCCTGGCCGCAGCTCGTATTCTACGAAGAGTACTAACCGTAAATTGACCAAATTACGCGAAGGCAGAATGCTGATCTATTGGCGCTTTCCTGCATGGCTGTTCTACTGTTGAGCCTCACGGGGGTGAACTCGTGATACTACTATTCGGCTGGCTGTCTGGGGAACCCCCACTGATCTAGATCGAATCAATCTATATATTTATTCAGAGCTGAATACCAAGTTGCTATCATTGAACCAAATACCGGAAGAATCACTATGGCTCGACTAAAGACTTTCAATAGTTTGCATAGGTCGTCACGGCCATCGTCACAGCCAAATATCACACAGGCCCCGGATACACTATGGGAGCCGATTGGGCCGGGGAAAGCCCACCTCCTTCAAGAGCTCGAAGCGCTTTATTGGGCTGGAGTCGAAAGTGAGCTGGAGAATATCATCCGCACACTGAAAGTTTGGCAGCAGCCAGAGTACGCGGATATCAATATCAGCGACGAAAATGATACTAACGTTCATGGCTTCGACACATTTCTTGACCAGGTTTGTCAAGAGGCGAGAGCGTTCGCTATTCGCTATGGTTAGTTCTGCCCACCAGATCCTTGGACAGGTATATGGTATATATGATATAGAAGGTGATTAATGCCATACAGGGGAGACAAAGCTAAAAGAGATGGCCAACCTCAAACAAGCACAGGCGATATTGTCGCGTAATCTTTCTTACCAGGAGGCATTGAAGAGAGTCATCCTCGATACACGTGCGGAATATTTCAGCAAAAAGATTAAAGAGGAAGTCCGTGAGCAACTTAACAGTGAGTTTCCGTCGTTTTATGTCTGAATGGCTGCTGATATAGTATTACCTGTGAAGCCATCCCAAGACTGTCTGGTGTCGAGTTGCGAGCGTGGATGCTACTTCAGAATGCGGGTATATATAAGAATAAGATACATTATTCATCATCAAGTGAACTAATTCATGCTAGGTTTCCTTGACATCGACAAGCTGATTGAGCATCGGCCGCCGCTGGATGAGTTAGATTTCTGGAAACGACCAGCAATTCCACAGCGTATGCTAATTTGTTGCTCTAATCATGTATAGCTGTTATATACTCACGAAGACTAGTAAAACTATCCAAGTTCGATAACCAATGGGTCCCTCAGTTTGCTCCAATGCAATGTGCCGAATGCAGGGCCATCATTCGTGGCAGCATGTTCACTAGACAAAAACAGTCCGAGGTGCCACAAGAAGCCTCTCACACTATATGCGAAGACTGTTATCGATCTAAGTATTATGGGGATGAGTCAATATCCAAGAGATACAAGCATTGTGTACTATCTGATTCTATTCAATCTAGTACGAGCAGGAAGATGTGCCAATGCTCAGATGTACCTCACTATGATTCACAGGGGTGTCCACGTTGTCTGTTCCCACTGAATGAGGAAGATAAACACATTTCCTACAGATCGAGTCATCGTTGCACGATACTAAAACTCTCTGAATTGGTTACATATGCAAAGTACCAGGGGCTTCTACGCACCGCAAAGGTGAAACGGAAGAGGGGAATGCGATTGTCTGATGCCCCGTGGATCTCGAGGATTGTTGACCGATCTCGGGGCAGGCAAAACACTCAAAATACAGGTGCACAGCGTGGTGAAGCTTACAATCAGTTGCCACAAACATATGGGGCAAAAAGGCAACCAGCCTTTCGTTCTGTGACGGAAAATACCCGCCAGGGAGATGATCGTGCTCCTGTGTCGAGTACCACGAGCGTAGCGACGGAGTCCAAGGCGGATGCAGATATCCCCCTTTTCTTTCGTCAGTTCACTGAGAAGTACCCTTTTGGAAACGTACATATGGCTTTGCGAGTAGGTCCGTTGGTTATCGAGAACGGTGTTTCTCAGTAAGTATATCTCACTTGAAAAAGCCTTCGTTTAGATGGAAAGACAAGATCTGATCAATTGCAATTAGCACAAAAGCAGGCGTTCTTATCACTCTGAGGGAATCGCCAGTATTTCACAAGCGCTTTGCACGGGGGACACATCAACGCAGCCTAGCAGTTGGGGGAGATTCGAAAAGACTTCTCTGGCAGCAACAACGACAGATAGGTCAACCAAAGAGATACAAAGCTTTAATGAAACAAATTGTCGGGGCTCCCTTTACAGGCGTTCTTTCCCAGAAACCGGAGAGCGAGCAAGAGAAAGAGATAATAGAGCTCCTTGTGGCAGCCAGCAAGCAGCCGTTTGATAATCCGGGCCTGCCTGTACTGGAACAGCAAAAGATTCTCGACGCCGCATTAAACTCTGTTCTGGAAAGGCTAAGGGATATGCTCAGCTCAAGAGTTAAGATATACCTTACCAGCATTGCCCAGCGTCTTCTTGACCCGGCAAACACACTCACATGGAGTGCGACAAGCAACAATTGCCAGAATTTCTGCAACTCTTTGATCGACACAGACCTCTTCGAGCCACTGGCCAATGGCCCACATATGCAATCCAGTGAGGTACCCTCTCCGCTTTATTTGATGAGCTTCGTCTGTCCGCCCGAGGGTTACCTGAACAACAAGATCATCAGTAAATTCGATGTCCCCATTGGATTAACCGAAGAATACCTTCTTCGGTTCCACTACGGCCGCCATGACGAGGCAGACTTGATTGACACCCTCCAAGAATACTGGTACGACTGGGGAGCTTTCGGTTCTACATTATACAACTACCAGGACCTCTTTCCATGGGATTGCACCGAAGCATACAGGAGATATCCGACTAAATGCGGAGATTGTAACTTGTCCAAACATGTCTGGGCCTTTCCGTTCGATTCATGGTCTATTATCGGGCTGCACCTCTACCGCGATAAACACATGTATCAACCCAAACAGGATGCAGACTCCAAAGCCACCAACCCCTGGTTACGGGACCGTCTTACCATCCTCACAGCATCATCTATCCTCGCCCGTGCTGCAACAGCAATGGCTAAATCACCCACGTTTTGCAAAGCGACAGCCTGGCTCCACTCTAAAGAAAAAGGACTTCGCCGCATCGACCCTTCCCTCGCTCGGGTCAAACTAGGCGGTATCCACCGCGCCCAACCATTCAGCCACTACTTCGAGGCCGGGACCTACAGTCACTACTTCTTAGCCGAATGGGCGCTGAAAAAGCGCAATTATAAGATTGCCGACTATGAGACTCTCCGAGATGGCCGTGCAAAACGACATGATATCCGTATAGGCGGGGGCAGATTCTCAGAGACCGGCAGGCAGCCTACAGATTTCAATCAATCATTCGATTGGTTCCGAGGACTCGACCATAGTGCTCCCGATTATGAATACTGTGGCAATCAGGGGCCGATAGAAACCGACGCCCAATTCGAGGCGCAGGCTAATGCTAGTATGGCTGCTGCCCTTATCGCTGATTCGCAGCTGGGCTCTATACATAATGCTGAGCATGCTGCGGCACAGGCGGCTGTTGCAGCTGTAAATTGCGGGTCAGGATGTGGGACTTCATCGGCGCCGTCGCATGTTTGTGGATCCTCTCCTTCTTCTTCTGGAGGTGGGGGAGGCTATAGTAGTTGTGGTGGCGGAAGTAGCAGTTGTGGTGGAGGTAGCAGCTGCGGAGGGGGTGGAGGAAGTAGTAGTTGTGATTGATATTCGTATTGGAACGCTGTGAATATGAGTACTGTACAAGCCTTCTATAGAGACTCTGAGCTTTAGCCAAGTGATACCTAGTCTATGCGAGATGAACTTTCGTTTCCAGACCATAGAGCTCTATTACGAGCAGAAGATTATTTACAGGGGTAGTTGAACGTGGTATCCGGTCGTTTAGCTGATAACCAATGTTATTCCATTCTCAGATATTGGCAACCAGCTCTCAGTCAAATTGAACCGCAAGTATCTTCAACGATCTTCCACCCAAGATGTTAAATAGCCAATAGAACCAATCTACCAGTGTACAGAGCACAAGTTGCAAAGGGATAAGCATTACATCACGGAAGCCATGGGTAAGTCCTTCAGAGAAATGGGTAACTAGTATAAGCTTCCTCCAAGCCACTGTTATGTGTTTAAATAATAAGCCTGTTCTAAAATTCGACAGGATCTCCTCTGACTACGCAACGGTAGCTGAGTAGTCTAACAAAATACCCACTCCCAAACTGCCACTTATCCGAGCATCCGAGCTAGATAATTCCTGTGCTAGAAACTTTTATTATCGTAGCGAGAGTACCAGACGCTGCACTATCCCAAGACACTTTGAATGGAGTGTTGCGTATGGATAATCTTCAACATTGTTAATTTCTCAGACTGCTTCTAGGTTACTCTGTGTAGGTACTAATAATAGACAAATAAAGCTTGGGTAGTTCCCGGCGCTAATGCAAGTTGCTTACGCAGCTAATCCGTATATGGCTAGTTCGATATCATCATCTCCGAATCTGAAACATAGAATAGATCCAAGTTTCGGGAATTTAAACCTACTACCATACTACTACCTGTGGCGCAGTGGTCATATTTGTCAGCCGTGAAAAATATTTTAAAAACACACCATAAGCATCTTGCAGAAATAGAGTCGTAATGATCATACAGCTGGCTTGTAATGGCACTAAGAACCGCTACGATCCCAGTGGCTCAAATGCCGCAACAAGCTGGCGTTCGGGGCCCCCAAGATGACTGGACAGGCATCATCGATCGAAAAGAACGAAGAAAGTTGCAGAACCGGATTAATCAACGGTCATATCGTAAGCCAACCCATTGATCACCACCTGTTACCTTAAGATTTCCCGAACAAATGAACGATGAATGTTTGTTGCAATAACTTACGTAACTGGAATCATAGGGCTACGGCAGATACGACGACACAAAGTTGACCAACCACCGGAGGAAAGCAGCGGCGCAATGATCGCCTCCCGCCCGACTGAATACGGCAATGACCATAAAGGCTTGGACGAATTTCAATGCAAACTGGGTCAACTGCGCATCTACTCACTGATGCGCGATTTCGAAATGTCAGCCTTGGAGAGCTATTCAAAGAACGCCCCAAACCAAGACCACCTTCTCAGTCTACCAAAGTTCAACATTCAGCGCGCGATCATTGATAACACTGTCGCTATGGGCATGACCATGGAGTGGATGAATGGCGATGACGCCGTATCCATCTTCAATATGCAGGGGCCGGGGATCTCCGAAGCCCTTATTCCAGCAAGTCTGCGGCCAACAATAGTCCAGCGGCGAATACCCCATCATCCATGGCTGGATTTCTTCCCCTTTCCAAACTTAAGGGACAATCTCATCGCTGTGCAGGATGAAATTGACGATGAGGAGTTGTGTCATGATCTGATGGCGTTCTGGGATACGCGTAACACAGGCCCCATGTTGTTGGTCTGGGGCCCGTCCTGGATGCCGGGAAATTGGGAGATGACACCAGCGTTCGTGAAAAAGTGGGGGTTTCTACTTTGTGGCTGCGAGGAGTTGTTGCAGAGTACAAATTCTTGGAGATTGAAGCGGGGAGAGCGGCCGTTGTCTCTGAGACCACTTCTTCAGACTAGACTAATTGAAGACTTATGATCTTACTGCCTTTGTAGTTATGAAGAAGAAAGCGGACATCCACTCCAGGATGAAAAGGGTGCTACTTATTCAGGGCTCAGATGAGACGGTGAAGTACAGGTGCATCAACTATAAGCCTGGGATGTTCACTCTGCAGACTGTTCGGATGGTAATATAGAGTGCCATTTTTCCACTGTAGACGAGGTATAACTTCCCCATTGCATGTTCTTCA